ACGAAAATAAACAACCAAATATATAAATAAAGGTTTATCTTTTCATTTAATATAAACCGTCGTCCTCACCACCACACATCATCAACTAATAATAATAATAATAATAATAATAATAATAATAATAATAATAATAATAATAATAATAATAATAATAATAATAATAATAATAATAATAATAATAATACATTACCATCAATGTTACAGGCTTACCTGATTTCACATCTGTGTCCTTTAGTTCCCACCGGACATTCGCATTTGTTGCCCGGAATACATACTCCCATGTGCCGGCATGTTGGTTTACACGCTGTTACTTCGCCTATCCAAAAAAATTGTTCTTTTAAAACCAACCACAATGTACCTAAGGGGTCGTTCACAATTATCATCATTTTCCTAAGTGTACAAACAGCAATCTATTTGGTACCCCCTCCCTTCCATCTGAAAGTGTAGGCTACATAACTAAAGTTATTGTACTTCGTTGCATGAAAATGTATTATATCCATGGTTGCATTATAATTGGTAATACAAATATATTATTTAAAATATTGCATTTTAATCTAATCAGTATTTTCATGCATATGTAAAAGTGTACACATTTTTCTACCCCTACAGCGTCTGTTTGACACTTGTGAAAATGTTGATAACTGTCAACGACCCATAAGATGGTGTGTGTAACGTGAGTAGGAGACCAAATGAAAAAGTGAAAATGCTATGGCGGATTCAAGGGGGATCCAACTGCCTGAATTACCCCCTAATTAAGAAAGATTAATTCAATAATAAAACTGTGAGTGTTATTACCAGGTATTTACTAAAGGTACCATATAAAAGTTTGTATTGAAGTTTCCACCACCGTGGAGCTGAGCTAATCTGGAACCCATGGCATCCCATGGCCCCTTTATTTCGATTTCCTTGACCAGCCACTGCTATAGAATACAAGGAACTTAACTGAAATTCGCACAACTTACGTATTTGACATCTAGAACCACTGGTACCAGCTCGACACCTACATTTATTTAGACCAACACACCTTCCGCCGTTCAGACACGGTCTCGAACAAGACGGACGCTCTATAGTAGAGAAATATTTAACAATAATAATGACGTAACTTAGTGCGCTACTCTAATCTGTGATGTAAAAAGACAACGAAGCATGTACAACAACACAATGAGAATGATGCCTAAGAGGCCTAACGTAACAAGGGTCCAAAGTTATTAGAAGCTACTAACTTCAGGAAAATCTTAACATAATATTTATTATGTTAAGATTATTTAATATGTTATTGAATTGTGCTGCACGTTGGGATACCCACGGCCAACTAATATCAAGGAGGCAAAGCAATAATACAATAATAACCACTCTTTCATGCATCGCTTAGGTTCAACTTCTATTCCGATGGCATTATATTAGGTATATATAATTATTTGTATATACTTAAATAATTATTATAATTATATTTTTACTATGACGAATATTATATTGAAACATTTTGTAAATGTGTTTTCTTGAAATATACATCAAGTGAATCTTGAATCTGAGATAATAATATTTATAATAATCTAAATTAAGTCAAAGAACACGCACCAGACTGACAGCGAGTTCCTGTGAATCCCGTGCGACATATGCAGTTGTTGTCGTTGTAACAAATTCCGTTGTTCTGGCAACTAGGTATACACGCAGCTAAAACGATAAAACATAGATAAACATTTGAAAGTTAGTCTATAGAATTATTTCGATTGATATGTAATTGGCATAGAAAATAAAACGAAATATAATTGTCTCCAAATGGTACCGTACTTATTTATTCATTAAATTAACTATTTTACAAAAGTAGGACTGTGTGATCTTTGACATACTATATTGGATGCTTGTTGCCGGGTCATGTACAAAGCTAATATATAGCAAATGATCATTATGATATTGACAACGTAAGTTTATTTATTTATTTGACACACACCACAGGAATTGAACCAGGACCCTGGGATTGGGAAGCAAGCATTTTAACCACCAAGGTATTCATATCCACACCA